GGGGTGCGGAGCCTGGGGGTACTGAGCCTGGGGGTGCTGAGTCTGGGGGTGCTGAGACGCGGAGTCCGGTGTCTGGGGGTTCTGAGTCTGGGGGTGCTGGGCTTGGGAGTCCTACACCTGGGGGAGCTCTCTCCTCGGAGCAGCTGCGTGAGTGGTACTCAGAGTACTGCAGCCTCAGGAGAGGTGCCTCTGGAGCCAGGAGTACTACTGGGACTGGTGCTGGTGCCTCCCCTCCTCAGCGGGAGCTGCCCTCTCTTGAGCGGATCCGTGAGTGGTACGAGCGGCGCTGCACTCTCCGGAGTGGCGCGCCTGGTGTCGCGGACCCTGGTGCTGGAGTTGGAGCTGCTGCTGGTGCTGCGGACCCTGGAGTTGGAGCTGCTGCTGGTGCTGCGGACCCTGCCGCTGGTGTCTCTGCTGGTGCTGCGGACCCTGGAGTTGGAGCTGCGGACCCTGGAGTTGGAGCTGCTGCTGGTGCTGCGGACCCTGGGGTTGGAGCTGCTGCTGGTGCTGCGGACCCTGCCGTTGGAGCTCCTGCTGGTGCTGCGGACCCTGGAGTTGGAGCTGCTGCTGGTGCTGCGGACCCTGGAGTTGGAGCTGCTGCTGGTGCTGCGGACCCCGACGTTGGAGCTGCTGCTGGTGCTGCGGACCCTGGCGTTGGAGCTGCTGCTGGTGCTGCGGACCCTGGAGTTGGAGCTGCTGCTGGTGCTGCGGACCCTGGCGTTGGAGCTGCTGCTGGTGCTGCAGACCCTGGAGTTGGAGCTGCTGCTGGTGCTGCGGACCCTGACGTTGGAGCTGCTGCTGGTGCTGCACGGCCCCGGCCGTACCTCGTTCCGCTCCTTCAGCAGGTTCTTGGTCAGCCTCCTCCTCCTTGTCCTCCTCCCTCCTTAGAGTGTCCTCCGCCTGTCCAGTCGCAGTCCCAGTTACCGCCTGCCTTGCCGCTCCCTGGTCCTTCTCCTTACACTGGTCCCACAGGAGGTCTTACGGAGCGTCGTGAGCCTGAGTCTCGTCCTGTGTCGCCTGCGTCTCGCTCTGCGTCGCCTGTTCGTGCTGCTCGCACTGGTCGTCGTGTCCCGCGTGAGCGTCCTCCTCCTGTCCCTGGCACTCACTACATGACTCTGCGTCCCTCCACTGCTCCTCAGCGCGTCCCTCTGCCGTCTCCTCCTGCGTCCTCTCTTCCTACCCTTCCTGACCCGGAGTCTGACTCCCTTCGTGCTGCTCGTCCTACTGTCACGCGTCTCCTCGCTACTGTTGTCACTGACCCTACCTTTGAGTCCTCTGCTGCGTCTGCTCTTGTCGCTGAGTTAGTTGACTTTGCTGCCGCTTGTCGTCTCGACTACGCCGCTAGCCTAGTTGCTGCGTCTGAGTCTGTCTGTCCTCCGTCCGTCGGGGGTGAGTGTGCTCTTGGCACGGACGTCCTTGAGGACAGGCAGGAGGAATTCCAGTGCTTTGCTGCTGCTTTGCCTCATCTCGTGTCCATGCTAGTTGCCCCTGAGGGAGACCCGGATGCACCAGACATCCCGACCCCGCGCTCTTACGCAGAGGCGATAGCGGGTCCCTACTCCTCTCAGTGGCAGACAGCCATGGACGCAGAGATGGCTTCCTGGAAGTCCACAGGCACCTACGTCGACGCAGTTCCCCCACCAGGGGCGAACATCGTCAGTGGCATGTGGATTTTCAGGGTGAAGCGGCCGCCAGGTTCTCCGCCTGTCTTCAAGGCGCGTTACGTTGCTCGAGGCTTCAGTCAGCGTGAGGGAGTCGACTTCTTCCAGACCTTCTCCCCCACCCCGAAGATGACCACTCTTCGGGTGCTGCTGCACATAGCCGCTCAGCGCGACTACGAGCTTCACTCTCTTGACTTCAGCACTGCTTTCTTGCAGGGTAGCCTGCACGAGGAGATCTGGCTGCGCCGCCCACCTGGCTTCACTGGGTCGTTTCCTCCTGGTACCCAGTGGAGCCTCCGGCGGCCGGTCTACGGTCTCCGCCAGGCACCACGTGAGTGGCACGACACACTGAGGACGACACTTGCGGCACTTGGGTTCGCGCCTTCTACTGCTGACCCGTCGCTGTTTCTGCGCACAGACACTTCGCTGCCGCCGTTCTATATCCTCGTGTACGTCGACGACTTGGTCTTTGCCACTGCTGACACTGAGGCTCTCGCCCACGTGAAGTCGGAGCTGCAGAAGAGACACACGTGCACAGACCTGGGTGAACTGACAAGCTATCTTGGCTTGCGGATCACCCGGGACAGAGCACGGCGCACCATTACCTTGACTCAGTCACACATGGTGCAGCAGGTCCTTCAGCGCTTCGGCTTCACGTACTCCTCGCCTCAGTCCACTCCTCTGCCTACCGGTCACTCGCTCTCAGCTCTGCCTTCGGATGAGTCCGTAGAGCCGAGTGGCCCGTATCCAGAGCTTGTGGGCTGCCTCATGTACCTGATGACCTGCACTCGACCTGACCTTGCATACCCTCTTAGCATCCTTGCACGCTATGTCGCTCCTGGCTGTCACAGGAAGGAGCACATGGATGCCGCTAAGAGGGTGTTGCGCTACTTGTGCAGTACGTCGGGCATGGGGCTAGTGCTTGGAGGGCGAGACCGAGTTGTTCTCACTGGGCACTCAGACGCTTCTTGGGCGGACGACCAGGCCACTCAGCGGTCGTCTCAGGGTTACACCTTCAGCCTTGGCTCTGGTTCAGTTTCTTGGCGTTCTACACGTTCTTCTTCAGTTCTCAGCTCCAGTTGTGAGGCTGAGATCTACGCCACAGCCATGGCAGCCCAGGAGCTACGCTGGCTCACCTACCTGCTGACCGACTTGGGAGAGCGGCCTCGTTCTCCTCCAGTGCTGTACGTCGACAACAAGGCTGCCATTGCCTTGTGTGAGGAGCACAGACTGGAGCACAGAACGAAGCACATCGCTCTGCGGTACTTTCTGGCTCGTGAGCTGCAGCAGCGTGGTCAACTTCGTCTGCGTTACGTGGCCACTCAGGCCAACACTGCTGACGTGTTCACCAAGGCGCTTCAGCCTTGTGACCATCAGCGCTTCTGTACTCTTCTAGGCCTTGTGCCTACTGGACCTCACTTGCTTACTTCTTGACTTTGCTTGTACTGTGATCTCTATATATATACCTGCATGCTTTCACTTGCTAGGTTGTGATCACTGTACCTCTTGCTATATTATCAAACTGCATGTGAACTGGTCTTGTGACCACTTGCTTGTGCTCGGAATTTGTGTGGTATCCCTTGAGATCCACCCTGAGCTTGCTTGTGCTTTGCTTTGCTCTGACTGGTCTTGTGACCCCTTGTTCTCCCCCACTTTGCCTATGGGGGTGTGTCAAACATTATATATGTTGTGGTTGTTTAGGCTACAGTGGGTTAGCCTTTAGGGGGTACACAATTCTAGGGTTAGGTACTTGTACTCATTTCACTGCTAGTTCAATCATTTTCCTGCCTGTTAATTTCAACATATAGCCCTGCATGTGAACTGGCCTTGTGGCTATTTGCTTGTGCTCGGACTATGTGGTGACTTTGTGATCCACCCTGAGCTTGCTTTGTTTTTCTGTGACTGCTTGTCCTCCCCTCGTTTGCCTATGGGGGTGTGTCAGAACATTATGCTCTGTAGGCTGTAGTGGGGTAGCCAATATGGGGTACAACCCAATTAGGTTTATACTTGTACCAATTTTCTGCTCAATGCATTCATTCCTGCTGCTAGTTTCTGACAAAACCATGTGCAAGGTACTTTCTGTGCGGCGCACGATTCGTGTCATGGGAAGCCTATGCTAGTTGTTTCTTAGGAGGGAGCACGCTTTACAAGTATGTCGCATGCCTTCATTTCCAGCCGGGCCTTATCCACCTCGCCCCGTTTCGAGACGTCCTAAAAGTTGAGACGACTTAAAACACAAGTATGTCGGCATGTGCCTTCACTTCCACATCGGTCTTGCCCACCTCATCCCCGTGTGCATGGGCTGTGGGGCACAGCTGTCATGACATCATGACGAGCGTCGCACGGAACGGCCATACAGGCTGTCCCTCTGCAGCGCAGAGGCTATAGAGTCTATGTGGGGCCCACCACGCCCGCATGTGCATGTGTTGTAAGACTGACATGTGCCATCTCCCTACCTTGTCCTTCTCTCTGCGGAAATATCCTGATCCAGAAGGTCTCAACACCTAGCAACACTGGGCGTGTCAGCTGCGAAGAATTGGAGTTTGTAGTAATGGTGGGGGGAAGATGAGGGGGCTTCTGCTTGCTGCAACTTAGATTAGGCTTGTGACCATGGGGGTGTGCTCATTTCTCTCTTGGTCCTTCTGCATGGGTGTGCATTGATGCTTGTGTGCACCATGTTGGTGTTTGTGGGTATGGTATTTATGCTTGAGTGGGTGGGTGTTTGGGGGGAGTGAACTTCGTGCCTGGATGTCATTCAGCAACGCAATGTATTTGATTGTAACAACTTTGTTTTCACCTATCGTATGCTTCTTTAAACCCAGGTGCAATCACTGAGCAACCAATACTTGAATACGGTGTGTGGTAGCCTAAAGCATCGCTCCATGGGGCGGAAATTGTTCTCTGCATTGGGCAAGCACACAGCGCCCTAGAAGATCCTCCTGTTTATTAAATACAAAAGGCACACCATACTGGAGGTTCTACAGTGCGAGAATAAGCGCCAGCAAGAGCTCAAGGATGGTGAGCGGGCGATGCATAATGGTGCTGGTGCGCGGGCGATGCATGATGTGATGGTGTGTGGGCGATGCATGATGGTGCGCAGGTGATGCATGATGTGATGGTGCGTGGGCAATGCATGATGGTGCGCGGGCGATGCGTCATGTTGGTGCGCGAGCGATGCATGATGGTGCGCGGGCAATGCGTGATGTTGGTGCATGGGCGATGGATGTTTGGTGCAAGGGCGATACTGCGCGGTGTGGTGCCGTATGCTACATACATACTGCCATGAAACCATGTGCAAGGAATTTCTCGTGCTGCACACGCTGCATGTCATGGGAAGCCATGCTAGCCGCACACACCGCATGTCATCCTACCTTCTACTCCCCCTCAGCTGTTCACAACGCTGCCCTTTCCTACATATCCCTCCACTCCCTCTTCAAGCCCTCCGACCCCTCTCTAGTCATCCTTGATGCAATGCTCTGCAATGCACTGTACAAAGGCGTGATAAAAAGGGCGCGACTAAGCGGGACCTAGGCCCCATGTTACTGCAGCGCATGCAGGCACAACACAGGGTGGAGAGAGGGGGGAGGAGTGTGGAGCGGAAGGGGGAGGTAGAACCGGTGCAGATATTTGTGAGGGGGCGGCAGGGCAGCAGGAAGATGATGCGGGTGACTGGCACGGAGGCTTATCTGGTGGAGGCTGACCCGCTCGCTGCTGAGCTGCAAAAGAATTTTGCTTCGAGCACGACTGTGGCTCAAGTGCGAGGTTGGTTCAGCTGCAATGGGTGTCAGGATTATTATTGATCGGTATCTACCCTACCATGTACCTACCTTATCAGGTACCATCCTTACCATGGACTGACCATATCAAGTGCCAGGGCACCTTAGGAGTTTCATCCTTACTTTCTTCTGCAAAAAACTGTCATTTTCCACCCTTTCTTCTGTTGTTCTATTCTATCCCCCTTTGATTCTCACCCAGTTTTTTTGTCTCCATTCTTCATCTATTTTCTTCCACACAACAACTCCCTTTCGATTTTTGCCTCTTACCTCCGCTCTCTGTGTTGCCTTTGCGTTGCTTAAAAGCAGGCAAGAGAGGGCAGAATGAAGTGTTTATTCAAGGAAGATTCTTGGATAAGTTGTCTCAATTGCGTGTGGATTCACATGGCATTCCAATCCTATGTGACAGCTATTGATTACACAAGAAGGTGATGCATATAAGTAAACTAAAATTTCTTGTACATAAGCATCATTCTGAATTGCAGGTACGGTACCCTAATGTCACCCGCACGGTGTAACCCACTGTATTCCCAACATGATGTAACAAAGGGTGTGAGTGAGAGTTCACGTAAAACTCATATTGCGCAGAAGAGCCAAAGGATTATGAGCTGGAAAATTCTATTTGAACTTCAGTTCCTAGTCCATAGATTTGAGTTTCATGCTTTGTTTGCAACCCATCTTCCTGTTATTGGGTGACGTCACACCCCCGTAGCTTGAGCTGCCTTTTCCAAGCTCGACAATACCACTTAAACCACTTAAACTGAAACCAGGATCCCAATTCCCACATGTTTCAGCTCAGGCAGTAAGGGAGAAAGAGAAATGTGTACGGCTGGTCAAACACCACGACCTGAACGTGATCAAACCTACTCAAAACTCGTTTGTGATCCATTCAAACCTATTTGTATCCAAGCACTAGAAGCATGTGTAACACACCACACCACATCCACTTCATTGTCAAACAACTCATACATGTGAATTATGGCTGGGATGGGAACGCGTCTCACCAAACTTCTCGATGGTGATTCGCCGAGGTTTGCTATTCGGGGTGGTTGGCTGACTGCGCTGAGCATGAGCAACTGCCCTTCAGCCCATTCACATCCACCACGATCCGCCATATATCCACTCCATTTTCCTCCCAAAACCAGTCCCAAATTTCGTACCGTAGCTCTTCATTCACTTGTTTCCAGCTCTATGCCATATTCTATTTACTAGCTAGTAATCATGGCGCGTCTGCTTACAACTCTTGTTCTCCTGCTTGCTGTCACTCCCGCATCACTCGCTTCCACTGATGCTGCTCGACCTGCTCGGCTTCTTGGCGACGGGATGGCTAGCGATGGTAAGTCGCATACTTCGAAGATGCGTACATCCGTGCGATGGTGTCGTGCCATCTAAAAAAAATGAGAGATTGGCTCCTTGCAAGATTGGCTCTATGCGTCTGTCCCTCTTTCCCGCCCCATCACCCCCCTCATCTTCCTCCTGTCCCCTCGTCCCCTGCGCAAATCTAAGTATCGGCATAGCGTGGCCATGTCGACGTGGCATGGCCGCAGGTGCCTCGGGAGCGGGAGATACCGCCAGCGGCGGCATCATGGCAGAGAGCATGCCAAGTTTTGCTCAGCGCAGCGCGGGGGACGAGCAGGGTCGCCGCGAACTGCAAACTGATCTTGGTAAGAGTATCAATCTAAGCCCCCACATGTTTTGTTCCTGCGGTTTTTATTTATGTTTTTTCAATTATTCTCCGCTGTTACTGTGTACAAGGACCCGGTGATTCTGTGCTGCTCATTAAGGCTGGGCAGCAATGACATGACCGGTAGTTGGTTGTAAGGGACTGGTGCACGCCCTTAAGCAACTCATCTTCGAGTTGAATCTCATTCTCAGGCGTCCCGTCCCCGAAGTGAAGATGTAGACTCAACGGTCTCCCCTTGCTGTCACCCATTTGCAAAAAAAAGATTGCTTGGAAGCGAAGGCGTGGGATTTCTCAGGGCGGATGGTTCGTTTCAAATGGTTCAAGAACACACCAGATAAGAAGGAGGAATGCAAGAATAACCATGCGATGATGATTGCAAAATGCCCGCCATTTGGCTTTTTGTGAGTGGGAGATGCATGTTGGTGCGAGGGCAGTGCTTTTTGGTGCGAGGGCAATGCTCTGTTGGTGAAAGGTTGGAGCTTTTTGGTGAGAGGGCAATATCATTGCGGGGTGTGGTGCTGGTATGCAACACACACACCGCCATGAAACCGTGTGAAGGGGGTTCCTGCCGCACACACTTCGTGTCACATCCCAAAATCGCAAAAATCACTCCGAACTCGAGGGATACCCGAAGGTCACTCTCACAAGGTAACCCACAAGTTCCCACTGTGTCCCCTACAGGTACCCTCTGGGCCCTGGCAAAGTCAGCGACAACAACCATCCTTAGCGCCCATCATCGTAACATAGATTCTGACCTATCGGGAGGGTTTCCAGTTCGGGAGTCCAAGGGGGGAAAGACGAGGGGGGGTGCTGCCGAGGCTGGGGTGGTGTAGTAGTGGCGGGGGAAAGACGAGGGGTTTTTTTCTTGCTGCAACGGAGATTAGCCCTGTGATCATGTGGGTGTGTACTCTATGTGGGTGATTGTGGGTAGAGTGTATACTTGTGTAGGTGGGTGCTTGGGTGCCTGGATGTCATTAGCAGCACAGTGTAACTCAGTGTAACACTTTATCCACCTATCAAATGATTCCTTCATCTGTGCTGCATCTGTTCAGCAGCTAATGCATGAATTCGCTGTTTATCACGCACATCACTTCACGCTGCTCCGCAGTTGTAAATTTGCTAACGGTACTCTATAGAAGTGGTTCAAGCGCTTGGCTGGAAGCGACGAGATTCGAGGCGACTCGATGAATAAGCAGTCCTGGGATTTTTAAAATCCCACTCGCTTTTCGGAAACTATCGGCGACACCAAACAAGTGGGACTACAGCCTTTCGAAATGGTTTTGTAGGAAATACACAAAAATATAGCATAACCTCATCCTGTGAATCGACTAGCATGGGAGGTGGCAAAGGAAATGCCTAAGCTTGAAAACTATTAGCACCCTTCCTAAAGTACGACCCGAGCTCACTTGGCTGTCACAGTAGAGAGGGGTAGGTCCTTGCTGCTCCTCCCCCAATTCAGCCAACAAACGCCGTTGTCACACAATCTCCCGTACGGCAAGGAAGAGTGCCATGTACTCTGACTCGACCGAGCTCAAAGCTTGGTCAACCTGCTTCTTGCTCTCCCAAGCAGTTGGGCCTCTACCAACGCAGCATATGAAGCCTCGCACACTTGTCATGTCCACTGGTTCCAATTCATAAGAGGCATCGGAGAAGGCTGTGAGGAACAAATGCCCGGGTTCAATACCATCCGCGCCCTTTTGGCGCCTTTGTGCCGCTGCCGAGTATTGCAGCCCAACGGTCGGTGTTTGGCCAAGACACTTGACCACCCTCCTTCCAGCTGCTAACTGCTCCTCATTAGGGCATTGAACAACCCTAGCCAGCTGCCCGGTAGCAAACGCGACGTTCGGTGGTATGTTGACTGCCGCGTACATGAGGCTGCCCACCAACGAGTGAAATCGGCGCCTCTCTTCTTCTCCAACGCTCTCCTCCTCTGGTCCCTTCACACACTTGAACCCAGAGGAAAAGGGAGTAGCCACATGGTCTTCATTCTGCCCAAAGTTGGCAGCCAAGGCCTCCAGGTACTTCCGTTGGTGCACCCGCATGCACCGCTTCTCCACGTCTCGTTCAATGTGAAGCTCGAGGTAGAAGTTCACATCACCAAGGGCCTTGCACTTGTACTTGTCCTGAAGCTTCAGCATCACCTCCTTCACAAGGTCAGAGGAGGGTGAGAAGATGAGGATATCGCCCACATAGACCACCATGAAGCTCCTCTGCTCCCCCTCGCCAAGCATGAACAAGGAATGATCGGCCGTTGAGGGAGTGAAGCCGATCTCCTCCATAACTTCTCGCAGCTTCAAGTACTATTGACTAGGGGCCTGCTTCAGCCCATAGAGGGCCTTCTTCAGCTTCAAAACTCTGCCACTACCATCATCAAACCCCTCTGGCTGCGCCATGAAGATCTCTTCTTTGAGAATGCCGTTGAGGAACGCGGTTGTCACGTCCATCTGCTTCACCACCCATCCTTTGATGGCAGCTCCCGCGAGTAGGGTTCGCAGCGTCGTTGGCTTCACCACAGGAGCAAACAACTCCTTGTAGTCCACCTTCTCTTTCTTCTAGTACCCCTTGGCCACAAGCCTAGACTTGTAGCGCTCGATCTTGCCGTCGGCGTCGGACTTGATCTTGAAGAGCCACTTGGACGTAATCGCCTTACGCCCCTCTGGTAGCCCCACAAATTCCCATGTGTCGTTCTCCTCGATGCTCTTCATATCACATTCCATTGCCTTCTTCCACTCCTCAGCATCACCACTCTCCAAGGCCTCCTTGAGAGTTGCTGGTTCCCCCGGCATCTCTACCGAAGAGAAGAACGAGAAGGCACACTCCTCGTAGTCACTCTCCTCGTCATCTTCAACCATCATTGCCGTTCCGACCAAGGCTGACTTGCCTGGCTTTCCCGGCGCATCATATGTCAGCCTCTTAGGGGCTTGAATTTTCCTCTTGCTCCTTCCTTCCTCCTCTGTTGTAGGGACTTGAAGGCCTTGGCGTTGCTGCGGTGTGACTCGAATCCGTGGAGCACTTGTAGTGCGAGGTGGGAGTACAGGTGCATGCTCGTTCACTTGCTGCACCTCCTCCTCTTCTTCCTCTGCATCATTGGCCTCCTCTCCCCCATTCACAAGGGAAGATTGCCTTGTGGTGGTGCTGCCGCTGCTCAGCTCCAAAGGCAGCTCCACATGCTTCAAGCCAGAATTCTTCACATCCCCAATCCGCATGCCTATCTTCGCCTCATTTTTTGCCTTCCAATCCTTGTACATCAGGTTCTCCATGAACTTGCAGTCCCTGCTCACCAAGAATTTCTTGGTGAATGGGTCCCAAAGAAGCCATCCCTTGCTGTTTTGAGCCATGCCCAAGTGCACGGCCCATATCGCCTTGGCACCAAGCTTGTTGTGCCGAAGATGCTTAGGCACGAGCAACATGCACATGCTTCCGAACACCCGAACACCCGAAGCATATCCACCTTTGGCTTCCTTCCAAGCCACTCCACATAGGGCACCCATTTATCTGCTCCCACATGAGTCAAGGCTCTGTTCTTGGCCACACATGCACTCTGCACCGCATCACGCCAGAAATAGTCGGGTAGCCCGGCTTCAATGAGCAACCCGCGTGCCATTTGCGTGATTGTCTAGTTCGCTCGCCCGGCGATGCCGTTCATTGCAGGGGAGTATGGCATGGTAAGGGAGTGCCTTATGCCATTCTTCTTCAGCCACATAGAAAACTCCTTGCTCAGGAACTCTCCCC